AGATGGAATGCACCGCATAGGCAAGCTGTTCGAAGTGAATGACAGGCCGTAGAATGCGGCCCGGGCCCGCGGCGATGGTCGCGCCTTTCTAAAGCGGCGCGAACCCCCTCGGCCCCTCCGCACCCCTGCCTCGCCAACATCCAATTGCAGGTGCTCCGAGCTCGACACATCCCCATTAAATACCGATCATGTCTAGCCATATCTATTTGCCATAGTTAAGACGCGGCACCTGCGACATTGTCTTAAAAAGTTGACCTTCAAAGTTGCCCACCTGCAGATCAAAATGTGCTGTGTCCGTTAAAATGGTAAACAGTCCTCGTAACACACAGATGTGGGAATTAATCAACTCGTTCTTATACAGTAGCCAAAATAACAAAAATATTTCAATGGAAAGGTTAGTGAATGTACAATCGTATTTAAAGCGGTCGTAAAATTAAGTTGCTAAAATTGTAATGTATCAATATGTAATGGTAACCTTGCGTGATTGTGCACGACTGTTTTTAGCGGCATTTAAAACGTGTTGTAAGTTCGAAATTAAATTCCTTTACATAGTCATTCTTGGAGACTTTCTGTGATATCGAATAGCCAAGAAGGCTAATATCGGTTGCTGGAGCATTCACACCACAATATCGTTGGTCACTGACACAGGAAACATAAAGTTAACATTTTTACTATACCTTTTGGCTGACTGTATGCGGCAAAATCGCAACATGGTATTCGAAAGCATGCAAATAATATTCAAGGAAATAGAAGTGATTCATAAAAACATGCTTTATGGACATAAACACATTGAAAGCTTTAGAATCTTATCAAAAGTCGAGTTTATATGTGATCCTAGAAGGCCTCCTGACATCTGTAAATTGGGTAGAGTCGCTTCACAAGAATTTTAATCGTTTTCCTATAACCAGGAACATAATAAAAAGTAGTCTACAAGAATAAGTGAATCTCTGGTCAACATTAACTTGCCCTTATCCCTTATGGAGGATTGGCACAGTATGTGCTGCTCTTCCATACATCTCTATCACCCGTCATATCTGAATTCACTCCCTTAAACATTTCCTCTTTCACACAATCCATCCATACTTTCTTCGGTCTTCCTCTTCCTTTTTAGCCATTTACATACATTCTTATCACTTTCTGGTTTATGTCCCCATCATCTCGTCGCATAAAATGTCCATAAGTGAATCTCTGGTAAGCAATAGTAAGGTATAACAAGGTTTTTGGATCAGAACTGACCTAGAAGTGTGTCACATCGTCAGCGCGAAACTCGTACACAATAAAGCGCAACACAAAGCCAATTTATTAACGCTAAAAATAACCCGCCCATGTCTCTGACGTTATTAACCTTACACAGAGTAACTTTAATATGTTACGACGATGACAGTTACTTCACTAGAGTCTTTTACACTATTCTCATATGTAAGAAATGTGAATTGAAAATTGAAATGTAGAAGATTCTTTTTCTCATCATTTGGGGGCTTGTATAAAAATGAGTACAAAAAGTATGTACAGTTTGCGCTAGGTTCGTCCGAGAGATTGCATTGAGGACGGTTCGTACAAGGTAATAAATAGCTTCCACGCTTCCAGTAACGAGATATCGCTGGCTAATAGGGATTGCGGTATTCGCGGGTCGCTGAAGCCGGTAGTACATAAAAAGAGTTAAAAGATAAAATGCCACCGGCAAAAACACGAACGCAGCGGGCGATTAACGACGTATCGTAAATTGAAGACGAAGTTATTGGTCTCGTTACTTTGTGGACAATGACGGTTGTGAGATGGAGTTGACGGCACGGGAATAAATTATCGTGACGTGATGTATAATGTCAACTGAATGCGATGCGATTTTATACTTGAAAAGATACGT